CCTCCCTGCCCTCCCCCTGCCCTCCCCTCTGCCCTCCCCTCTGCCCTCCTGCACCCCCTCTTCCTCCTCATCCTCTCAGCCTCCCTTCCTCCTTCCCGATTTAGACAGCCTTTCCAATTTCCTTGGCGTTAGCAAAATCTCTCTTACAACAGGAAGAACTCCTTTGGCGTCTTGCAGGATTGGGCTCGGATGCTTACTCTGCTGCTTGACAGCCTCACGTGGGGAGCAGACGTGCTCTTTCTGGGGCCGCACCTTTCTGGGGCTTGATCAGCGTTTGCTGCTCCCCTTCTGGTTGAAAGCCCTAGGGAAGCTCTCACACAGGCAGGCACTGATCTGAGCACTTTATGTCCATTGTGCTGTGAGTCTGCATGGCAGCCCCTGGAGGAGCCTGAGCCAGCTGCTTTTAGAGCAGGGCGACTGCAGCTCAGGGGGCAGCCTCGTCTGCGTGGGGCTGCCGCTCCCTCAGGGTACTGCGGGTGGCAGAGCTCCAGCCTGAAAACCTTGTTGTAAATCAAGGGATCATCTTAAGAGAGAGAGAAAATCTCTCAATGCGCATATGTCATTAAATCTTTCTAAGTGTTAAATGCCGGATTTATAAGAATAGAATTCAGAAAAAGGTTGCAAGCTTGCTACAGTGGACAAAAAGCAGCAGATGTAATTTATCTAGGGCAAGTATTGATATATGCTGAAAGAAAAGAATGCGTGATGTTTGAATCCTAAACAGAGAGGGAAGACAGAAATTATGTTCACTGTTTGTAAGACGTTATTATCTGCAGACTACATCTCAGTGTTCTTCTGTAGCTTACTAAACCAGAAAACTTCTGGATTTCACAGAAGGCTAGTAGAAACAAAAAGCAAACATTTAAAATGCTTTGAATAATCTGCCTGAGTTTCATTGGATTTCTTTGGGGAAGCCACACTGTTCCTAACCCTCCACTCTGAGTGCTGCCCTATGCATGGAATGCCTGTGGGGATAGAGTGTCAGGTGAAACAGCCCTGGAAGCACAGTGGCGTACACACCAGAGGTTCCTTCTCTCCTCATGTACACGTCTGAGATGTGGGCAGGCGCTCTGCTCGGCACCGTCTCGCGGGGGCCCCTCCTGGAAACACGCCTTGGTGACCGTGGGGATAAGAAGAAATGGGCATGGCAGGTTACACACGCCTCCCCGCTCAGCCGGTCAGTGGTGTGGGCGTGTTTCCTTGGCCAGAGCACTTGAATGGCTTCACCGAAGTTGGAGGAATTAGGGACGTACGGTCCTACCCCAGCCGTGGAGGAGGGAGAATTGGGGATGTTTAATGACAAGCACTGCTGACCACCCGCAGCGCGCTTATGGGCGAGAGTTTCCAGCCTTTCACAGAGAGTTAAAAAACAAGGAGGAACCTCGTAGAGCCCTAAAAGTGCCAGCAGCTAGGGTGAAGCAGGGAAGGGTAGCCAGGAAGGAAGGCTGAGAGGACAGCGTTTGCGGAGTGGCCAGCAGTTGGCAGCGGGCCATGTGGCGGAGGCCCCGGGGGTGAAGGACTGAAGGGTCCGCGGACTGAGCACATAGAAGTCATGGTGAAGTGAAAAGCTCGGGTGGAGGGCAGCTGCGGGGGCAGGTAGAAGCCTCTGAAGGAGGACTCTCAGCCGCCGCTGAGCAGGGGAGGCTGGACACGCTTTGAGGCAGGGCCCAGAGCACCAGAGAAGCCGTGGTGGTAAGAACTGACTGATGCTGCCCTGGGGAAAGGATTTTATTGATTTTGTTTCTGGTGAGAAAATCAATATCACAAAACTATTGATGCTTCCAGTAAAAGAAGAGAGGGTCTTAGTTTATAAAGAGGAAAAATATTCTTTGGAAGATTAAGTTTCATAGGCATCTAATAGTAACTTAAATATATAAATACAAAGTTACTTAAAAGGGAGATTATATACTGTTATATGGAAAACAGCTACCATGGAAAATATGACGTGGCTTCTTTGATTTTGCAGAAAATATTTACACTCACAGACATAGAAAACTTACGGTTACCAAGGGGAACGAGGGGAGGGGAGGGATAAAGTAGGAGTTTGGGATTGACATACATACACTACTGTGTATAAAATAGAGAACCAACAAGGACCTACTGTATCACACAGGGGGCTATACTCAATATTTTGTAATAACCTATAAGGGAAAAGAACCTGAAAAACAATAGATACATGTGTATAACTGAATCACTGCTGTACACCTAAAACTAACACGAAATTGTAAATCAACTATACTTCAAAAAAATAAAGAAAAATAAGAATAAAGAAAGAAAAGATTTACAGTCATCTGTTAATCAGCCAGTATCTCCCTCCTCCCCCC